TGTTCCATCTATATCTATAGAGTCATTCCCAGGTCTGTTCTATCTATATCTATGCAGTCATTCCCAGTTCTATTCACATCTCAAATTGGATTATTGGATTCACACCTCAGAGAGTTTATTTCCCAAAAGTAGATCCATATGAGTATTTCTGCAAATGACAATAGTCTATTTTGTACTGGCAGTCTCAGGTTGGACCTTCATAATGTGGGATGTCAGGGCAACAGGTCTATAGTCAAGGACTGTCTGCTTAGTTTCCTCTGGTACTGGAATAAAGCAGGAGGTGTTTCACATCCCTGGAACCATCTTCTAGGTCAGTTTAAGGTTAAAGGGGCTGGAGGATCCTACAAAGCTGCTCTGCAAAGGGTTTCTGGAATCTGGGGCTCACACCATCTGGACCTGGGGACTTATTCTAATTCAGTCTTTCCAGTTGCCTCTTTACCTGGCCTTTATAGACACACAGGTGGAAGGGGTAGGCAAAGAAAACAGATTTTGCTAAAAACAGTAACAGAGAGGCGAATGCATGCATAACGGAAGTGAAAGTTCAAATATTTGAGGTATGATAGGGAAGCTTTGGGTCAAAGGGTGGGGTTTCTGATTGTGGGCAGGAGAGAAGGATACAGACATTGTTCCTAAACTGAATCTGTAGAAGAATGTTTTTAATTCATTAGCTCCATCCAGACCTACATCTGTTTGATCATCCTGCTTGAACCCTCTGATCTTCGTCCCCGACTATACAACTATGATATTGATCAGCTGGAGCTTCTTTTTAATGTCTTCTTGTTTCTTATCTTGACTTTGCAGCAGCAGACATCTATCCAGACTGCCATCTGTATGAAATAAGATAATCTTCATTTTCATGTTATTTTTCCCACCTATTGTTTCTTGCTTTCATCACTCTCTGCTCTTTCTTTGCTTCAATAAAGGAAAAGTTCGGTCAGCAAGGAATAATCAATGGATCATTATTTTTACCTAAAAGCTAATATATTCGTGGTGATTTAATGAATTTAGCGTCAATTAGTAAAAAAATTTAATAATTTTCGTCGCAACCACTGAGCCATTGTTTTTGACCGACCATTTTTGCCCAAATATTGTAACACCTCACTCCAACTTGTTGTTGGATTGCCCACTGGAAGAGGGAGAATTTGCCATCTAACTTCTGGCCAGAGACAAAAACACGTAATATTTAGCCAACATTTCGAAGAAGAATGTTTTCAAGATGACTTGGATAATAGCGCATTGTGAAAAACACCAGCTACATTATTGGGACTTGTTCACCAGCCGATACCGAACCATGCAGTCTGAAACTTGTAGGTGGCAGTAGTGTTCTTTGACAAACATGGATGTGTCCAGTAAAGTACATTCAAACGAAAATTACTCTTAATTAATTAACACTTATCATTTATTGGACAGTATGTAATAGTTTCATATTTAAAGTACTTTTAGAAGTTTTAATTCGGAATATGACCGGATCGGACCATTCCTTTAACAACCGCTGACCATCCTTGCACAAAAGTTTGCATTTAATGATTCTCAAGACAGGTTTTGGTTGCACATGTCTTTTTTTATTCTTGCATTCCTACTTATGTTACAACCCATTTACTTTGACATTGTTTTTTGGTTACGATCACAAAGTTCTTTAAAATTCATTCAACCATTATACACTCTTCCACAGTGCTTTTCTCTCTTCATTCATGAATGTGGTATAGAGATAAATAAATCAAAACAAATGTTTTCTTATGAGTGATTACAATCTTAGGACTTTTTTTTTCATTGCATTTGCATTTGTCCAAAACACCTGGTCAGATCCTTTAAAGAAAATGTATGTAATCAATGTAATCGATTCATGTGTTTGGTGGCAGCATTTTGTTATTCATATGACAATGATCCATCTCAGTGATTTTTAATGCTTTGGTATTTAAAAAATTCATCATGTCATATGCATATTTGTGCAAACTTGAAGATAAAAAGCTACATAGAGAAAAAAAATCAAACATATCACACAATGACATCCTTAGGATTTTGATGTGGAATGAATCTGGGGTAGTTAAAGTGTAATGTGCCACGCTAAAAATTGAAAGAAATAAATATCAACAGACAAAAACTGGTTATTTATTCAACCAAAATTGAGGATAAATGTAGTTTGGACAAAATTTGAAGATACAGAACTACACATTGTGTTGCAAGCCAACTTGATTGGAGGAGAAATTGAACGGAGCTACATAAACAGGCAGCCAACTGAATGTGAACTGAGTGATAGGATTTCCTTTATCATCTTCCATGGGCTTAAATAAGAAATGCTGGCCCCAGTTGTGTAGTTTATCTATGTAGACGTTTGTAAAAAAAAAAAAAAAAAAAACCTGTTTTACAGAAAAAAATATGTATAAATGGTTAACCATGAAGCTGCATATTAAAAGTATTATGAATGTAATTTTCAATTTGATCACAACCGGACCGTCAGTTCTAATTGCAAGATTATTCTACCATATCTGCACTTATTTACAGCCTATAAAGCTCCTAATATCACCATCAAAAATGTTTGATTTTAAACTTCAAATAAAATATATTTTCTAAAAGATAAAGTAAGATTATTTTATATTTACACAAATAATTATTTTATCAATTATATAATTTATGGCAAAAAAAAAACAAAGTTTTAATCTATTTCTATAAAACCTTTCGAAAGCCCAGTTCTTAGTTTGCATGATTAAAAGAGCTTCTACAGAATTACAATTGCAGATCAAGTTTCAATTTTACAATTGTTGTAATGCTGTTAAATGAGTAAAATCACTGGATCCTTCAGATTAAGGTATTATCAATCGCTGGTGGTTGACTGGAAGTCGAAGAAAGTGTTCATCAGAGTCTGTCTTCTACAGATCTCAATAAAAAGGCAACAGTGACACAACACCTTTAAAAGCAGCCACAGCACACAGCACAGCCTCACATCTGCTTACAGCGCTCACAACAAACACCTGGACACAAACTATACATCTGACCTCCTTGAAGATAAAGTGTTTGGTTCATTTCTTCTTATAATACAATGCATTCAGTTAAAAACACTGTTAAATGTCTAAATTTGGTGATGTTTATGTTATGTTGTATTAGAAGCTGTTAACTGTAATGCAAGTTTTCTTAGAGCCTTACATCTCTGTTAGCTAATTTGAGTGATCTACAGCAACAACTATCATAGGACTCTGTGTTCAAGGAGTGTCATAGATCCTTCAGGGTCTGTTTCATCTCCTCTTTCTTTTGAACAGGGTCTTTTGGGCAAAAAAAGCATGCAAACCCTTTTTTTTTTTAGTTTAGCTGCAATAAGAAGCCCATAAAGTGGCTACTTCCCACTGACATGCAAAGAGTTGGTGTGAACTTATCCCCATGACTTCTATTTCTGTTTCTTTCTATTACCCAGTCCTCAAATTTCACCGTAACAGACATATCTTTATCCATCAAGTTTTATCAGTTATCAACCTCAGAATTCAATTTTACAGGCAGGAAAAGTCTCGTCCTGCATGGCCACCGTGCTGTTAGATCCCAGAACAGTGATGTTCAGCTCCCGTTGCCTGTCCAGAGTTTGTTGGTACCACTCCTGCATTGACACAGATTCAAAGGTGGGTATCACTGTCACCTGGGCACACAGAGAAGGAGAAATTCAGATATTAGTGGGTTATTTCATCAGTACAAGCAAGAAACAATTTGTTACTTGTGTATTCTCTGTCTGTGTTGTTGCAGGCAGGCTTTAAACTCACGAGCCTCAAGTTAAGTTAGTATTTCGTTCTTTTTCTTTACCTGCATGATTTCTGGCCAAGATGCCTTGCCCTCAAGCAGAGCATCCAGAGTTTGTCTCATTAGCTTCTCCCGCTCCAGACTATTGCCACTGATGATGTAGCAGGAAGAGCGTATGCACCTGAAGAAGTCCTCAGTGACTGTGGCAGAGGAGGCTCCAGATGGAATATAAGTTAGGTCCACATAAATACTGACTTCACCAGCAGAGGGAGCCTTGGAGCCTAACAGGAGGGACAATAGAAAACCAAAGAATGTGAACATTTCAGTTAGCCTGATCAATAGGGGGATTCTTGTTTTAAATAACATACCAGGAGCTGGTGATGCTTTTGCTGGTGCAGAACGACTGTTGGAGGAAAGTGTTCGAGTTGAGGGGAGATTCACCCTCATGGTTCCACTTTGGCTGCCTGTTTTATTTTTTCCTGAGCCTGATTTTTGGGGAGTATCAATGATCTGGTGGTAAAACAAAAAGTTCAACATATAATTTAAAGAATGAATGAAATGATCTCCATGAAAAGAACAACTTATATTATTGATATTACTGATGTTAACAGATGAGTGATGCAAACTGCTGATTTTTTATTTTTTTTTTACATTTGTTTTGTCCAGGCATAAAATAATCATCGATTTCTCTAGGGTATTATGTAAAATATGAGCAAAAAGTAGTGCAAAATTCATTAAAAGTATTATGGAGGATTTTTAAAAGACCCGCCCTCTCCACTTTAAAAAGATGCAAGTACAAGAGCATGCACAACCCCATTTCTCCTTATGCTCCCGTTTAAATGTGCTGTTCTCATAGCTCATACAAGCGTACTGTGTGCACATACATTGAGGACTGTATAGTGGACTTTATAGCAAACTTGGTTAACTGACTGTTTGGACAGATGATCACTGCTTTTTGATCTGTTGGTCATGTAACTCCTCCCCATTTTGTTATCATTTGCCATTGTCGGGTAGCGACAGCAGGCTGCTGTGACAGCAAATCCCATAATGCTTTGCGAAGAGAGCTCTCCGCCCAAAGCATTCTGGGATATATCTGCCTCTTCTGAGGCAGACACTTTTTCTCCAACGGCCCCCGGCCATTTACAAAGAACCAGGGTGACTCACAACAGATATACCCCTGAAAGTGCGCATGCGCAGCCAAAGATAGCTAACGAGCATGTAGGACGGCCAGAATGACTGACAATTAGGAGGACCACTTATTTTGATGATCCACCCAGAAATAAAAGATCGTCCTCTATACCTTTAAGTGTAGGAAAAAAAACTATAAATAACATTGAAAATATTTTTGAGATAAACATTTGAAAGGTTTGAGATAAATTTCTACTCAGTCCCTTTACACTCATACCCCTACAATAAAACCAACTGCAACCAGCGGCATTTAGAAGTCAGAAGAAATAAAATTACAAGAATGTTTTCATGTGTGTGAATGTGACACACTCACCCCCTGTAATTTTTTCCCACGGAATGAAGAGGATTTTGCTCTCTTCCCATGAGCTTCAGAGTTAGACTGAGGAACTGGCATTGAGGTGTCGGGAAGAGGAGGCAGGGGTGGACTGTCTCTGAGAGGGGCTGGCAGGGGGTCTGGGGGCAGAGTCTGACTCATGTCGTTGTTACATGGTGAGTTAGAGGGGTCGCTACATGAATCATCAGAATCAGAATCTAAAGCTCCATCTGCTGTGGTGGACGGGCAGTCTTCTGTGCAGACAGGGGCATTTGACTCACTGGGTGACCTGTCCTTTGGGACGTTATTGTTGTTGCCTTGATGATTTGGACCACTCACTTCTTTGGAGGCCTCACTGGTACCCGAGCTTGAGTCAGGGGGTTTGAAATGCTTAAACTCACAAGGAGAAACCAAACAGAGGTCCACGTCGTGAGCGGATGCCTCAAAATGGAGAGTGTTGGGTGCAGTCGGTCTCCCCATCTCTGAACTCTGACCCACAGATCTCGGAGGCTTCTTCGCTGGTAAAGACTTTCCTACACAATACCCTCCATTGGATTGGGAGAGATAAACTCCATCATCCCCTTCTCTATGGCTCCCAATTGTTGGTCCCTGCTCAAAGGACATGGATAATGATTCATCTACTTCTGTGGACTGAGGTGAGCCCACCTCTGCTGGTAAAGAGTGCGTGGTGGTGGTTGTGGTTAAAGAGGGGGATGGATCTGAAGAACCCTCCCTACATGTACCGAAAGAAAGAAAATTAAGATGCTTCTCTTTAGGATTTTCAGCAGTACTTTTGGTCTTGCAAACCTCCTCACTTTTTCCAGAGTATCCATTTGGCTCGCAAGCATCAGCTGAATGGAGAGCCTGAAGCCTGCTGAGTGTGGCCCTGTTGCACCACATGTCGTCCGGGGACAGGCAGTAGGGAGTGTGGCCCGCGCTGTTAGGACGTGAGTCAGGGGAAACTGGTTCTACAGTCTCCTCATCAGGACTGTTGGGGGCTTGGTTTTCTGGAGAGGTGTGAGAGGGAGGAGAGTGTCTCAAAGCCCCATCCAGGAGCGTGTACTCAGTTGGGGTTGTGTCCAGCTGGTCCGTTTGCTCACTCTTGTATGACTTGTTCAAAGGTGATGGAAATCCCACAACTTTTGCAGGTTTACTAGATTTAAACAGCTGTTCTGGACAGTTTTGTAGGAGGTCTGCTTCTGTTTTTTCACTCTTCCCGGGGATAGTTTGCACTAAACTGTCACCAATCTCTACTTTCACTATTTCCAACCCACCTACTGCTTCCTCAGTTAACCTTCCAGGCTTTACATTGTATTCATCTTCACTAACGCCTCCAAGGATCTTTTCACATTCTAAATCACCATAGGTAAGTGTTTCACTCTCAGCTTTTTCCAGTTCGCTTTCCTTCTGCAGCCTAAGAAAATCAGCTGTCATATCCTCAGGGGTAGACACCTTGGAGTCGTATTGCTTCTCCTTAGCTTCTGTCTCTCTCTTGTTATTCTGTTTGTCTAAACAAAGGGGCTCTGGCTCTGTGATTTTTGACAAAGAACCTCGTTTTTGTTCTGATGAGTTATTTGTATGTCCTTTCTTGTCATCGCTTTCTGATGACTTTTGTGTTTTCTTTTCTCCTGTTTTGTCGTTTCTTGTATCCTTTTTGGGTTTAGCTTTATTGTCCCGCTTGGGTTTTAAGAGGACCCCATCTCTTTTAATCTGCTCAGTCCTTTTAACATTATTCTCCTCTTTATTACCAGCCTTCTCTTCTTTTTTTCCATCCTTTGCTGATCCTTTCTTTAAAGTATTCTTCTCTGAAAGTGAGGGCTTACGTTTTAGACCCACCTCCTTGATTTTAGTTTTATCAGTATCTTTGGTTCCACTTGATGTCTTTACCTTTTCTTTCACTAATACATCCTTTCCCTCCTCTCTAGTTTCTCTTTCTTTCCCCCGCTTGGATGCTACATCTTTCCCTAATGTGCGGCCACTGTCCAGGCTCTCCATTCTTTTAGCTTTCATGTCCTCACCCTGTCTTTCAAGGTCTCCGGTGGTTACTGTTGGCCTCTGAAGAAAGTCCAATCCCTTGAGCTTTTCCAGCCCCTGCAACAGTTTAGCTTGTGGAGTTGCGCCAGGGAACAGCACTCTAACCACCTTCTCTTGGGGGCATGCTGGATGCCACACGAGCAGGGCAGAAACAGAAACCTGTGCAGTGAGAGGGAGACTTTGTGACAATGACGGGTCTCCATTGGGCCAGTTTTGCAAGAAGATTTCATACTCCTGGCTGTTCTTGCCAGGGCTGAGGATGTATAAATCCAGCTGTCCCACTCCCATCTTTTGAAACAAGGTGAGTGGCTTTATGGGAGTGCCTTGTGGTCGAAACATTGGTTGTGGCCTGATTTCTAACTTCTTCAAGAGCTCTAAGGTTATAGCTGCCTGCTGTGTGCTCTTCAGTATATTGTCTGTAACTTGAGCAAGAAAAAAGATTGATAACTTGTATCACTTTTCTGTCGTTAAAAAAATAAGAATAAAATAGCAAATATAAATACAGTTTTTAAAATTAAAAAAAACTCACGAGAATGTTGTTCTGCCTGCAACTTGTTGGGGGCATTAAAGAAAACCACTCCTAGCTCTGGAGAGATCAGCCTCTTCGACAAGTCATCTGTATAAAGAATGTTATACAGAAATAAGGACATTACAATATAAATTATGCAAGCAGCACATGCAGTTACCGTCATAGTTTACATACAGTTATCATTAACATAGCAGTATATTTATTTTGAACATTTAATGGTGTTTTAAATGTTCATCTTTGGTGAAGTTAGGGTTCATCAATCAACTTGAATGAACTTTAAGAACACTAATAGGGTGGTGAAGTTTTAAGTTATTGCGGGTTTTCTCAGACCTGTATATAAATTCTTAAATAAATTCATACACCCCGTCTATTATTGGGTAAGATGTCTGTAAGAGGCCTTGTGCTTTTTTGTTGCCATCAATATGATCCTAGCCGATTCTGGCTGGATGTTGGACCACTGCTCTTTCAAGAAATACTGGAGCAATTAAAAATAGTTAGTTTTTGTGTCACAGATTCCACTTTTAGAATTTTTCAAAAGGTTATCAGGAACATTAAAGTTGGGACCATTCAAGAAGCCCCGAAGACTAAAGAACAGGCTGGACATCAGATTCAAGCAGACGAAGGAAGACAGGATAATCAAGAGAAGCCAAAGCTGGTGTCGAGGATGTGCACAGGAATACCAGGCCAGAAGATCAGAGGTACGAAGAGGAACCGAAGGAAAATCCAGGATGGTGTCAGGAAGCAGTTCCAGGTTTGATAAACATGCAGAATCAAACAGGAGTTTGAATACAGGTCAGGCAAACAGATCAGAACGGGAGCAGGCAAGCTCAGAGGTCCAGGAGCTAGGCATGTGAATGGGATGAGTAATAAGCCAGTCATCCGCGTCTAGATCATGACAAAAATATATCAGCTAAAAAGATAACGTCTATGCAGACTTTTTATGTAAAGACCAGCAGTGTTGTGACTCCATTCCAGTTTATTGGTCATGTGAACAACCAGATATTTATGAGTTGAATCATAAGTGAGGGAAAGTGAGTTCCCTGTTCCCCAGTTTCAGTGTTTTAGGTCTGCTCCTGGGATAATACACCTCCTGATTCCTGGTTTTCCCCCAACGATCAGGGGATGGTTCTGGTGGCACCAGTCCACAAAGTCCTTAATCTACTTTCTGCACTCTGAGGCAGTCTCACCTATTAAAAAGGGCCATTTATAGGTAATCAGAGAACTTCTGTAGATGACAGTCTGCAGTAGGGTTTTCAGCCTCTGAGAGTGCTAACCTGCTAAATCTTCAGGATACTTTTAACTTTATCAGAGTTTACCAGCAGTGTCAATGTGCACTCAGAAGCACATTGACACATTGACTCAGTCCCAACGTGAGTCAGTCTTTAGAAAGGAGGGTCTCTAGCACCAAAACCCCTCCGTCGTACCAACAAATATGGTCAAATACAGTATCAAGACAGATTCAGGCCAGAACATTATTTGATGACAACCAGTGGCAGTTATACATGAATGAAATCTTGAGTGAGTCCCTCATCCCACCCCCCCCCCAAGCCAAACAGCCCAGTTTTTAAAAATATAATTTTTGGATTATGGGACTGTAACCCCTGTTTAGTACTACCCTAAGCAAATGATCACTAAGAAAGTCCCAACTGAACATTTGCACAGTTTTCTCTGAAGTTAGCTAAGTGAGATTTAAATCTATTTAACTGTTCATCTTGGTAAATATTTTAAAGTGTGTCTTAAGTTTTCAATTAATCACAATACATTCATAGTTTGCTCTCAATTCTTGTTTTTAGAATTAAAAAAGGCTCCTGACTGGCAAAGTGCACTTTTGGCCTGAGAAATGAGAAAGTGTTTTCTTACCTTTGACATCATTGCTTAGCTCCTTCTCAGCCACCTTCCTTTCCAGGAATGAGACGGCACCAGGAAGGTTCTCTGTCCCTATGTGAGTCAACAAAACTGCATCAACTCTGTCCAGGTGCCGTACCAGCTTCCAGAAACAGGCCTGAGAGTCTGAGCCTCCATCTACCAGCACGGTGAACCCATTAACCGCAAAAAAGGCGCAGTCACCGCGCCCGGCAGGGAACACATAGCAGCAAGGGCGGGACAGCTTGAGGAAGCCCACTGTGGTGGGAGGTGACAGCAGGTCAAACGGAGAGGTAGGGCAAATGGTTCCAGAGATGAGTGATGTAAAATCCCCCAGAGATTCCATGGCTGCCAGTACCTCAGGGGGGTTGATATGCAGAGTGAAGGGACCCTGCAGGGAAGAGTTTCCTAAGAGGATCTTTCTCCAGTGTCCGATGTTAGGACAACTGAGGGTTAGATTGGTTTTGGTAAGGGAAACACAGCTCCTGTGATCTAGGAACTGAAGACAGAAATTATCTTAAGTGTACATACATCTACTTTTTAATCAAGGCATACAAAATAAAGTACAGTTAAACAACTGAAATGTGATCAATTCTGTGCAGTTTAGACGTTTTTTTTTTTTTTTTTCATAATACCAAACATAAAATACTTTTTTTTAGAATATGGATAAAAACTCAAGCATCTTGAGCATCTAAAATTCTTAACTTTATAATAAATGCAAAAAGAATGTCCCATTCCCAGAAACAAAGACATAACTTTGCACTAATTTTTTAAGACATCGTGATTTAATTAAGTTGTGCTTTTTAAATGCCGACACTTTAACTCAAATACAGTGACTTATTAAAGATATCATATATATCATATCATATATCATTGTTTTAAACTGAAATTCACTCATATTTCAGAGAGTGATTTAAACAAGGTCCCAAATATTCTTATATTTCTATTTTATTTTTTCTTTAAATTTAAATTCCCATCCACATTTAAAAGCTTATTTCACCGGTTGCTCATTGTTAACAAACACAAAGTTACTTAAGTGATGTAACGGATTAACATTTACAGAAGCATTCCAAAAAAGTAAAAAAACAATCCACTGGACTTTTTTTTTCCAAGTTTGAAGACTTTTACAGAAGCATTTAGCAAAAAAAGCAAAGGGATTATTGTGTCGTACCTGCTCTGTTATTATTTGTCTCAGATGGTCAGGAGAAAACTGCCCTCTGTGAAAGAGCAGCTCTCCACTTTCCTCCAGGCTAAGGCCAGCCAAAATCAGCAGCTTATGAGCAGAATCCCTGGACAGCAGCGAGAAAACCTGATGGGGCAACAGAGGAGGAAAAATCCGATTAGGTCAAAAATCAGAAATTTTGAACAAGAAGTGATTAAAAAAAAGCTTCTTTTACATGCTAAGGGTGCATGTTACAGATACAGATGATACTTATTCAGCAGAAATAAATCCTTGTAAGCTAATGTTGATAATTATTTGGATTTTTAAACAAAGGCTGGTAATAGTGGACAAAGGAATGCTCTCAATTCACTAATTACATGAAACTATGGTAATAAAAAACTGATATTCCTTAAAAGAATCATATCTGTATGAAATGATCCACAGTTGTGCAGAGTTAGACACATTTTTCGTATCCCTCATAAAAACCCTTGTGATAAACTCATCTTTTATTGCTTCTTATTCATATTTAATGACTTTGTGTTTCCTTGGGGTATACCGGTAATAACGATCTGGCATGATTTTATATTCAGCTACAGACAGCTAGACTTGACGTGACTCATATTACTGGTACGCCATATTGTTACTCCCTAGTTAGACCGGTCAGCTAAAGCATCAAACAAGGATTATCTACTTTTCAGGGGGGCTTAAGACTTTTAAAATAAAGATAAAGTCATCACTTTGGCACAAACCTGCTTTTTTATAGCATGAATTTAGATTACTTTAGATTACTGTCATTTAAGGTAAAAAAAAAAAAAAAAGAAGAATGTATAAATCATGCAATAAAACATACATGTATCATTCAAATCCATCACAACCAAATTAATGTTTTAATGGAGCATAATAATTCTGTACCTATATATCATGAATATTACACCCATACACAGACACATACTATCTGATGATGTGTCAAATCTGCAAGATTGATGATGTACATGTAATAAACATGTATTGATTGCATTGTAATGGCAAATACATTACATTACAACAATTATTATGGCAAGACTCGTTGAAAATGGGGATTGCCAAGATGGCGGCAGGTGATTTCAGTTTTTTTGTGTATCGGCAATCCAGTGAATAAAAACAGATCAGTGGAATTGAGCAGCATGGTAATACGGAGAAAAGACTGCAAAGATCACTGTTGAAAACAATTTTCAAAATGTTAAGTCCTAAAAACATCTAGATACCATTACATTATACCTCTACACCAGCGGTAGCTTGACAGTGAAGAATGCAGGAAAAGACCTTTCCAGTTCATCATAACTCTACTTGGACTTCAACTAGAACCTTACGCTTTGATTAGGTCAGAGAAGAGCTTTTCTTTAACAAACATTGCAGGTTGGTTTGGTGTGAAACCAAACCAACCTGCATTTTTTTTTTACATTGGCCCCTTGATTTTACGTTATTACATCATGTTCTACTCACCCATATGAGTTTTGTGTCATTTGGAGCTGTTCTGAAGATATTTGGTTAGGTTATATCCAACTAACGTCTTGCTATGGGGAAACGACTTGAAGGCACAAACTAAACTGTTCATAATGTATCATTTATGGTACACCAGCATTCATAACATGTAAGCGAATCACTGTCCCCTAGACATCCACATTTATATTTTTTATATTTATATCTTTTAAAAACAAAGCGGCGTGAGTATGTCGTCATCCGAGAACCGGAGTGGAGTTGTAACAGGAAGCCCGGGCCACAGCCGGCTACGCTCTACCTCTTCTATTCATTTGACTAGCTAATCTGAATCGTTTAATTCCATTTCCAGAGCGAGATCATCTGTGGTAGTAGCACTAGACATCTTCCAGGCATGTGAGTAAAACTAGCAGCAGTTCAGCGGACAGGATGAATGAATGGATGACGTGGATGCGGATGTCCTGGTTGTCTTTGTGTTACCCTACGATTGACTGGCGACCTGTCCAGGGTGGACCCTTCCTTTCGCTCAATGACAGCTCAAGATAGGCACAAAACCTCGTGACAGAAAATTAATTGATGGATGGATAAAGGGCACCTCAATCCAAGAAACAATCCATTTAATTTTGGTGATGATCTGGAACTTAATTTGGATCCAGGATTTTTTTAGTATTAACTAAAGGTGGAACTGACAATATGTCAGGGCAAATTAGCTATTTTGTGGAGGTCTGCACACTTCTAGTGCTCTTCTACTTTACAATGTGAGTCAGAGAAACAAACAAATCCCATTATAATTCAAGGCATCAAACAAATAGCATCCTAGTGTAAACTGTCTATGTGGACAGCGCCCCTTTTGGGCTGATTATGTGGATCATATTTTTTTAGTAAAGAAGAGGTATGTCATCAGAATGGAAATACAATCAGTGATGCTTCATAATGTATGATCAGCGAGACCAAAAACTTTGATTCTTTCAAGATTTTTTTTGTACAATTATGTAAGCATCATGTATTACAAGAGTCCAGTTTGACTCTCTGTCCTCTTAGTCCCAAATAAACCGAAGAGTGGCAAAAAAAAAAACAATAGAGGCTTTTCATATACTGTCCAAATAATACCAGCTATCATCCTCAGGATAGCACATTAGGATGAGCTAATGTAGCTTATATTTGTAGTATTACAAATATCCATTTACTCCTGACTCCTTCTTACTATTAATCTCAGCCAAAGTAACACTATTGAGGAGGAATTATTGTCCTGCTCCAGTAAGACTGTTGAATAGCTATCAAAAGAAGAGATAAATAATCTCAAACCGCTTTACAATGAATCCCAAGCTTTAATATTAACATCATATTCAAAAAGAAAAAAATATTTTTTACCTCAGAATAAGCCAGTTCCTGAGAAGGACTGATCAGCACCTGCGTGTCCAACACTTTGGTACAGTGGCGAAGACACTTCTGCCCTGATGAGGCAGAAATATTAGACGCAGGTAGCGATGGACCCAGAGGAAAAAAAAGGATAGAAGAAAGCAGAAACACAACAGTCAGAGTGTTTGGGAAATACTTAAGAAGATCAAAAGGGAGAGGAGTCTGAAAATAACAAGAGGAAGGGAACCAGAACAGCTGAGTCAGATGGCTGTCAGAGGATGATCTTCCAGTTTTACTCTATCTACAGTGGAAATTCAGTATAAAGGGAACTGGCTCAGGCTCTAAAGTCACAGAATTGGACATGATAATCTGGCTTTAAGGAACACATGTTAAGCACTATTTTGATCTTGTGATATGATGCTTTATGATGTTGTCAGAATGGCTTAAGATCCTTGAGTCATTAATATTTGTCTTTTTAGAAGCCAGATTTCTTATAGAACTTTTTAAATTCTTCATAACTGGCTGTTTTTCTCTTTTGTGTTTAAAAAGCTTTAATCGTTCTCAGGTCAGAGGATTTATGGTTCATTTTAATGCCAAATCACTGTTTTTAGGCTTGTGCTGCTAAATAGGGGGATACACAAGTTTTGCATTCAGAAGTAGACAACTATCCTAACAACTATCTTTTTTTTTTTTTTTCAAAAGAAAAATCCTTTTGACACGTAAGTCAGAAATTTGCTCTTAAAATTCAGAAGTAAATGATCTACATGTGGATTATCCAGTTTTGGGGTTTCTATTGGACCTGCTTCTCTTCAACTGCAGTTAATAGCTGTTCTGTTTTAATATAATATGTCCATTTTGCTCAGATTCTTCTCAAACCACACTATAGACCATGTAGAAACAAAAACAAGCTTTTTGGAAGTTACACTGCTGGCAAAAAAAAATATTATAATCTCTGCCATATTAGGCACTTTTTAATAAAATGTTATGTACAAAGAGAAAACCTTGTGTTCCAGAAAAGTATCTTATGCCTCTTTGTTGTTTTCCATGGCTCTGGCTCATCTCTGTGGTGCAAACAAAGCTAATTTCCACTACCTTTTCAGCTGCAAGATTCAGCTACATAATCACAGTGAACACTTGAGAGCCTTATTGATCCTCTTATATCTAACTTTTGGCAAGAAAGCCAATGAATGCATTTCCAACAAAGCAACCGTTGCACTTTCCATTTGCTCCATTTGAATGAAGATGGGTCCAACTCAGAGAAACAAACATATACTCGTGACTTTTTCCACCCTAAATTTTAATCAGTTTCTTTAACTTCATCTTTAAATAGTTGTGCGTGATAAAATACTGTAAAACAGACACAGAGTTCACATACCTTGCATCAGGTCCTTATTGTTTTCTTCACTAAGGTTACACCCATGCCTAACAATCAGCAAACTGCTTCTCACTTTCCTTCCTTCCTTCCTTCCTTCCTTCCTGAGTGACCCCACAGCAGCTGTGCTGGTGCCTGACCAACACTTTGAGTGCATTTGTAAACCTGGCGTGAACGGGCTCTTCGGTCTCCAAAGAAAAGCTCCTTACCTGCACCTTTAAAAGATGCCGTGTGATGGGAGAGGAACTCCTGTAGAAACAGATTCAGGTTGCAGGATTTTAAGTCCACGTCCCATGACCGTATACCTGAGGGCATAAAAGATAAATTACCTGTCTCCGCTGGTACCCCAACGATAATTTTTTTTAAATCCTTTAATCTGTCCAGTATTTTTTCGATTAATCAATTAATTATTGGATCGCAAAAGGTTCAATATAGAATAATTTTTACAAAATTAAACCAGGTGAAACTAAAACGATTCCACTTGAGGAACTC